TTTTTTTTTTTTTTTTTTTTTTTTTTTTTTGACTGGTTGAATAATGAATACCAAATATGATTTAGGATATATTAATTTCCTTGGCTATTTTGTTTGACTGTGTTGTTATGGTCTCGTGTGGATTATTTGGTGAATCCATGGTTGCAAATTGTAATATGTTTAATTTCCGGATGCTTGAATTGCCCAGAAGAAGTTTTTTGATTTTTTTTTTTTTGGTATTTTATTTGTCTTCTTAGATTGATATATATGTAGTTTCTTTTTCTTTTTATTAAAAAGGAAGTACTGAATCTATGACCTATCTCGGTAAAAGCAACCTGGTGCTTTGAAAAAAATATTTGAATTCCAGTTAAAATGAATAATTGTAACTTTTGTATTTTAATTTACTTATCTTTCTCATATTCATCGTATTTTCGTATTTATTATCGGCAATATTTAGTATTATTTGTTCAATGCAAAAAAATATAAAAAACACGATAACGGGCCACTCTTGAATAAATTGTCTGGGGCCTCCAAATTTCTGGAGACGGTCCTGGTCGTAATCTTATGGTGTTGCTACGGTATTCTATCCTATTTACAAGAACAATTAGAAATTACAAGAGACCGAACGTCATGTTAATTTTTATTTTTCACATAACTTCCAATGTATTCGGAAGACCACATTCATTTTCTCGACTCTTGTATAACTGACAAGTGTCATTACATTTAAAAAGAAGAAGAAAAAATAACAGCATATGTTTTATTTATTTTCAAAATAAGCAAGGGATGATTTAATACAATACATTAGGTAGGCACATTTGTGATCATGAAAACACTTTAACTGGGAGCTTAAAATGATTCATTGGAAAAATGAGCCGATAATAACATTTGTTACTCTGACTATAATGATTGACCATCGCCTCAGTTTTAAGCCTGTTATTCCGTACAGGGCTGATCTTTAACCGGGAAACTGCTCCAAGGCTCTCCAGACGCTTGGACTGTCGACATCTTCTTTCGGTGGACAACAAACGAGCAAACCTCTTGAGTGCATCCTCATTAGTTCCCCCGTCTTGGACAGGCTGGGTTAAGCCAGTGTCTATATTGACCCTCGAAAGTGGGCCCCTCAGCAGCCTCTTTCCTATCGTCACTAGCCTCTCCAAGTTATCCACTGTCGCAACATCCACCGAGTTCTCAATCCCATAGAGGTTATCATCCTGCGAACCAAACAACGATCTATCCGATTAAAGAATTACTATATGAATGAAGCAAGAAGGGAAACAAACAATAGAAATATAAACAAAGAAATTAATGAATGCACCTGTATCCTTAGATAATTTTCTTGAGACTGAAGAGACTGGAATAACAAGGAGGCGTGATAGTCGACCATATCTGCACTGGCTTGGTTGAATATCTCAAGCAAAGGCGTCGTGCCCCCATACAGAAGCCAATCCATAATGCCCCACTTTGCCACTAATTTCGCGTTGTATTTTTCCTCTAACCTTGCGATACCCGTGCCTATCGATAGTGTCAGCAGACTAGGATAGTCCACAGGCGGCATCCGGAGGTAGTCCACCCGGCTGCCGAACATTTGTTTTATTACTTCGTTTATCGCAATCAGTGTCTGATGCCCCACACGTGTAACAAATTAACTAATTAGTTGTTGTTGGATTAATTAATAACTAGACTTAAATAAATGGGAAATGCTACGGTTCGTTATGGAACCATTCCGTCGGGGTTTGTAACTGTTAAATCATCATGTAACCGTCGGGATAGTTGATCTACCTATTATAAACTCTGACAGAATATAATTCTGTAAACCGGACCGTAGCATCTCCCTAAATCATAATTAATTACATTATTAGTTGGTAACTAATTGTGCGTACAGGATTATTAGCGGCCACGCCGCCGTCTATGAGGTTGTACTCTCGAACATTCCCGTGTTGGTCACGGGTTACAAACTCGTGCCCGGGAAGAAATGTGGGCGCCGCTGAGGTACTTATGCATATGTCTGAAAGTCTCGGATCTAACAAAGGGAACTTTTTGGCCTGCGTTAACACAAGCCAAACCTCTATTTGGATTACTTAATTAATATTCGTCATTTCTATAATTAGACTTATTAATTTCAAAGTCATTTCAACTATATCATATAGTATTTTGTCTATGTCATACTAACATCAATATATCGAAATTTGTCTTAATTAATTTATAATTAGCTGTCATTCTAATCAATCAATGGTCAACCACAATATTTAATTTAATATACTACCTCCTATTTTTTTTAAATGTCATTTTGGCATTATCAACTATTAACAAAATAAATATCGTTTTAGATATTTTGTACATATTTTTCTATTATTACTCTCATTTAGTTAATAAATACACTACGCATTTTCATATTAACTCTTCATCTTTTTTCAAAATATTTATCTCTATCCTCATTAATATATCCTCATTAATGAGAATTATTATTGACAAAAAAAAATATTTTTAATAACTGTGCAACTTCTCAAAACGACACTTATTTTGAATAGGAGGGAGTATTAGTTAAAGAAGGCGTACGTAACCTCAAGTGTGGAGAAAACAACAGGTTGCAATTGCTTTATGTCGAAAGCTGGAATTATGATGTTGGTAATTGACTGGCTCAGCTTTGCGTCCTTCAGTTTTTCTCTCAAAACGCTGTGAATTCTAAATTTTAATTTTTTGTCTTTTAATCTTGTAATTTAATATTTTTGCTGGAATTTCAGTCTTTCGCGACTTAAATTACAACAAATTTTAAAATTGCATGACTTAAATTGCTAAAAAAAAAGAGTTCCTGTTTGGAGAGTTTCAGATTTCACCCTTCCCTATTGGAATAGTGTGGATGGTTTCGAGAGGAATCGTCCTATAAAGGACTTTTTCGAAAGAAAGCGCCCGGAATGAAGAAGGAAGTTGGTTACATCATTCTTTGTCAATGCTACTCCTTTGTGTGGGAGATTGCTTTCGAAGCCTATACCGATAAAAAAAAAAGAGGAGGATGATAGAAGGCAGGGGGCATCTCACTAACATGAAAATGTTTTTCTTCCATAACGAAGGGGATTCGATCAATAATATGAACCCAGGGCTAACTTCACTAGTTCCCTCGGATCACAGAACTAGCGTGAAAAGAGTCCACCGTGCGGATCAAGAATGGCAAAGACCGGATCAACACTCTAAGAGTCTATCCAAAAGATTTTTGATTAACAATTTAATAGTTCTGTAATTTTAAATTTTGTTACATTTTCAGTCAGAAATGACTAAAATTGCATCAAATTTTATAATTAATGAACCAAGTAACAAAAATATTCAATTCTTAGGACTAAAAACGACTGAACCAAACCAACATGACTAAAATTCCAATTTTGCACAGAAAAACAAGACATTAAATAAATGGGTTGTTACCGTTTCTGGGGGAAAATCTTGGGACAGTTTTCTAAATAGAATGGCGTTATGTCCTTGGCGGCGTAAAGCGGTCGATTGTTTTGGTCGGGTGATGTTATCATTGCCGTGACAAGGCCGCCCGTGCTCGTCCCAGCTACCACGTCGAAGTAGTCGGCAAGTCTCGCATTCTCCCCGTCAAGCTCCTGTAAAAATAGTATGTACAGATATCATTTAACTTAATAAATAACGTTGGATTATACGTACCTTATAAGTAGTTTAGGTTGTGCTTGCCTGAAGCTGCGATTCGAGGAAGTCGAGGATGACCGCGGGGAGAATTCCTTTTATGCCCCCGCCGTCTATGCTGAGGACTGTGATGTAGCGGTCGCAGTTCGGGGGCTCATTCGTCGTCCCCAAGCATGAATTCGTCGCCATTGATTTTTTGTGTTGTGGAGAGGTCAAATCAGAAGAGGTATAGAGATAGCTGGATTTGATCGGGTTTTCAAGTGTGTGGGTTGTAACTGCTTGTTAATTATATTATTGGGATGAATATTATTGAATAGGCAACATGACACTCGTGTTATTATTAATTTAATTTTAGCAAGTGGATGTGAAGTTTTTCCAAGAAATTGTATTGTTATTGGATTATTCTACAATATGCTCAGATTTGGCTCATTTTTCTACATTCTGGGTGGGGTGTTAGGCATGGAACATGTGAATAAGGAGGAGCACATCATCATATTTGCCCCCACCAAATGTGAATCACAACTATTGTTTTCAATTTTTGAATCAAAATTTAGATAGAAAATGAAAACCAAAAAAATATCTGAAAATATCTTCTATTGTTGAAATTCAATAATCAATCAGTACGTGCAACCCCCGTTTTCAAATCTATAGCCCCCACATCGTTTTGAGATGTGAATCGCTATTTACCGCTCTCCTTTTACAAGTTATCGTCCCTTTTACTAAAATATCTTTCAACCTAAATTGAATACTTTCTCTACTCTCTCTATCTCTCTAAAACAGAAACTTCAACGAGTCATTCGAGCTTAAAAAAAATCTGAAAAAATGTCGAAAAAATCTTACGGCATCGGCAAAGCATTGTTCTCGAGCAAGGTATTTTTTTTTACAATTTATATGTATTTTTTTTAAAAAAAAAATTTGTGCCGCGTCCGGCCGGCTTATCCGGGCGCGGCTTGGGCCGTACGGTCGGTGATCCCGTACAGCCCGCGGGGCGACCGGTCGCCCCGGCCGGTCCGTACAGTTTTTTTTATAATATATTAATAATCATTAATAATTATATTATATTAGTAATTATTATAATAAAAAGTTTAAAAAAATAAATATTGTTAAATAAAAAATTAATGAATAATTAGTAATCATAGTAATAAATAAATAAAAATAAAATTAATGAATTATCATAATAAATAATAATAAAATAATTTATTTGATTAAAAATTAATGAATTATCATAATAATAATAAATTACTAAATATTATTAAAAATATTACTTTAATACACTACAAAAAATTAGAGTTCTAGTGAAGAATTTTTTTGTCACTATGTTGTCACTATATCTACTATCACTATATCTACAATTGTTGTCACTATATCTACTGTCAGTATATCTACAATTGTAGATATAGTGACACTATATCTACAATTATTGTCACTATATCTACAATTGTAGATATACTGACAGTAGATATAGTGACAACAATTGTAGATATAGTGACAGTAGATATAGTGACAACATAGTGACAAAAACATTCTTCACTAGAACTCTATTTTCTTGTAGTGATAATAATAGTTATAGTCTAAAAGAAAAAATATTATCAAATAATAATTATAATAATTGTAAAATATTAGTGAATATTAGTTAATTACTATTATAATAGTTATTATAATATTTATTAAATTTTAAATTGATTAATAAGTTATTAATATTAACTTAAGACATTATTATAAATAAATTAATCAATTCTTATCATTAATTTAAAATTTGGCTTTAAAAATTTAATTTTTTTTTAAAAAAATATTTACAATTTTTTTTTTTTAAAAAAAATTATATTTACTAGTTTTTATTTTAAATTGGTGATTTAGGGTATTACTAGGCCTGAACAATTTGATAGGGACGACGATGAGTTCGATGAGTATATTGACGGTTCTAGACCCCGACACCCGAGTCGTCGGGGTATAACTGCGCCCGCTCGTCGGGATCGAGAACTCATTATCCAAGAGGCTCGTAGGATATAGACTGGCCAGACAGGCAGTTCGAGACTCCAGACACCTCCACTACCAGTTGGTGAGCAGGGATACGGTGGCCCACCTCTACCAGTTGGTCAGAGGGGATATGGTACACCACCAGTACCGGTTGGTCAGCAGGGATTGCACCACCAGTACCAGTTGGTCAGCAGGGATATGGTGCACCACCACTGTACTAGCTCAGTCAGCATAGATATGTTTTTGTTGGCCAGTCAGGCAGCTCGATACCCCCTGCACCAGCACCAGCACCAACACCGGACGGTCAGCAGGGATATTATGTTGATGAGTCGGTAGCCTAGATGGATGAGGATTATGACGAGTCAGCATCTTCATATGATGAGGACGATGACGATATTCCTGCACAGGCTACGGTTCTTGTGCGGCCTGCGGCTCCTTCACGACCTGTTCATCCTGCTCCTCCACGACAGGCTGGGGGGCGTTTTGCTAGCACTGAATCCTCAAGTAAATAATTTACGTACTATTGTTGTTTGACATTAAATATTTCGACTTAAATATAACAAGTTATTGGTACGGTTAGTGACATTATGTTCTATTCTAATGCAGGTACTAGCAAATGATCTAGGACTGATGGATGACAGTGTGATCCCTAGCTTTCTCGAGGACGTAGCCTCCCGGTTGTGGAATGGAGAGTGCTGAGGCTTACTGAAATGCCATCACAGAGTGCAAGCGTTTGGTAATCTAAAAGATTGGCGAGGTGATATGTCTTCCGAGACACTTGATATGATCAAGGATACCAGATTGTCACATCTGGCAGACTCCATGCACGCCCATGTAACACCCCACTTTGATTTTAAAGAAATTCCGGATTTTTCAAAAATCAGTATAAAATTTTCAAACTCATTTTCGAAAATTTAGTGGGTGTTAACTAACATTCTCATAACCCAAGTCTTATCTTGGCCTACGGGGATTCATTACCCGGTTTTCACAATCGGTTTTCATCAACCAACACAAACTCATGAATAAATAGTCAAACATCAATCCCAAAACTACAAGGGTTCATAAGATTCGAAATCCACACACCAGGTTTGAAAATAGTTTGCACAAAAACATAACGTGCAACAAATTTATTCAAGTTCAACGGAAGCCATAATAATGCATAAATAAATAGACCGACCAACTCGTCCTTCCCTCGTCACCCGGCTGTCACTTAGCCTGCATCGGTAAAGAGCAGGTGGGGATGAGCACAAGATGAAAAACGTGCTCACCA